GCACAGCGATCAGGGACGCGGCGCACACCCGAGAGAACGCGCGCGGCACGGCGACCAGGGACGCGGCGCACACCCGAGAGAACGCGCGCGGCACGGCGACCAGGGACGCGGTGCACACCCGAGAGACCGCACATAGCACATGTAACCAGCTTTCAGTTAGCAGCAGAGTGCTTAACCACTGCACCACCATGGCTCATTTCAAAAAGGTATACTGAAGTCCTAACCCTGGAACCTGTGAATGGGACCTTTTTGGAAACAGGGTCTCTGCAGATGTAATTAAGTTAATAAGGTCACAGTGACCTGGGGCTGGCCTAATCCAATAATCGGTGTCCTCACAAGGAGAGGGGAGACACTACGTGAAGACGGATGCAGAGACTGGAGTGTGCAGCCACACGCCGGGGAGGCCTGAGGCCACCAGAACCCAGGATAGATGAGGAAGGATCCCCCGCTAGAGGCTCCGGAGGGAGCGTGGTCCTGCTGACGCCGGATTTCAGACTCCCAGACTCCAGACTGTGAGAGCAGGGGCTGCTGGCGCTGGAAGCCCCCTGGTCGCGGTGCTTCGTCACGGCGATTCCGAGACACAGGATAATGTGTGGTCCTCAGATTCTTGCTGGGCAGAGAGCCCTTCCGAGCAGCAGCCGGCTTTCCAGCCAGGCTGAGCATGGCTTTTTTCCATTTGTAGACCCTCTTCCCACACCAGGGGTCCCGTGGGATTTACCCCGTCTGTTGTTTGTCTTTTGTCTCTGTTTATACTATCTTCTGCTGTTCAGACTTGTTGAACTTGTACACTCTCGAATCTGACAGCTGTCCTTTCTTCTCCAGCTCCCGAGTTTCCGGTGGAACTAGGAAGGCCTGTCCCATGCGAGGTTCTGTAAATCTTCTCCGACGTTCTCTTCTCACGGGCCTTGCTGCTACGGTGTCCCTACGGAAAGGAACTCCATCTCCCCCAGAGCTCCGTAAGGCCCAGCCCGGGGCACCTAGAGAGTCCCAGCTGTCAGAATGGCCTAGGCCTCCCTGTAAACATCCCCTGCGATCCAGACCAGGCCCAGACAGGGCTCCCTCTGAACATCCCCCGCGATCCAGACCAGGCCCGGACAGGGCTCCCTCTGAACATCCCCCGCGATCCAGACCAGGCCCGGACAGGGCTCCCTCTGAACATCCCCCGCGATCCAGACCAGGCCCGGACAGGGCTCCCTCTGAACATCCTCCGTGATCCAGACCAGGCCCGGACAGGGGTCCCTCTGAACATCCTCCGTGATCCAGACCAGGCACGGACAGGGCTCCCTCTGAACATCCTCTGTGATCCAGACCAGGCCTGGACAAGGACAATCCCTCTTGGGGATTTGCTCATCTCCACAGCCCCCACCCCACTCAGTGATCCGTCGCTCCCCGTAACCTCCACGACCTCCTGTCTGGCTGAGCCCGACCCCAGTGCTGGCCACCTGCGCCCCGTCCTTCCCTGTTCTGTGCTCATGGAAACACTAGCACGTGGTTCTTTAAGGAAGCTCTGAAGGTGAATTACTCCTCGCACGATGGAGCTCAACACCCACAAGCTGTGAAGTCACGTGGACGGACACCCGGCACTCGCCCCACACGCCCTCCGCTTCTTCATCTCCTCTCTTGAGAAACTTCATGTTTACTGGCCATCGCGGGAGGCCGGGCTGCTGCGGCCCCTCTGCCTCTCATGCGGGCCACCTAACGAGAGCCAAGCCTCTCTCTCTCTCCCAGTTTCTTCCCCTTATCGGGGAGCCTCCCCTCCGTTTGGGGTACACAGTAAACTTTCCCCCTGCTCTGCGCATGTCTGTGTCATGTGGCACCTGGCCCACGCCACCGTCGCCACTCTATCTGTTCCTGGGGGGAGGGAATGGGGTCTCTCAGCTGCAGCAGAAGAGGGGTGCACTCAGACCACCAGCCCTGCGTCGGCTGCGGGGCCTGACCCGCCAGCCATGGGCACTAGTGCCCACTATGGAAGCTGACCGTGGTGTCTCCTCTCTGTGGAGGGAAGGTTCCTGTCCACTCGCTGGCTGTATGTGAGTCAACCTGTTGCTGGTGGCCCGGACTTTGGCCGGACAGTTTCGCTCAGCGAGCAGGGTTGACAGTTGTGAACACAGAGGTAGCGACCAGACGTGCTACCTGGAACGGGGGCTACAGGGCAGCACAGTGGGCTCAGGTGTGACTTTCCAGGCCGCTCCAGGGGACTCAGGCACTGCTGGAAGCGGACCCACCAGTTCACAGCCTGGAGGAGTGGCTCTATGTCCAGTTCCAGAAAGATAATCCGGCATGCAGAGAAGAGCGTGGGGCAAGTTCATCTGAGCCGATGAGTCTCTAAATGGCCAAAGCAGGTGCAGAGGTGGCCCATTCCAGAGGGACCATTTCCTGCCTCCTCCTGTTGGAGTCCTGGTGGTCTAGTGATTAGGAGCTATGGCTGTTAACAAAAAGGTCAGCAGTTCAAACCCACCAGCCGCTCTTTGGAAACCCTACGGGGCGGTTTTACTTTGTCCTATAGGTGGCTGTGAGTTGGAATAGACTCAACGGCAACGGGTTTGGTTTTTTTTTTTTTGTTCTGTTTATTGTTGGTCTCAATCTGCTGCAAAAGACCTCTTTAAAGTGCTAAAAAGCAAAGATTTCATCTTGAAGACTAAGGTGCGCCTGATCCGAGCCATGGTGTTTTCAATTGCCTCATATGCATGCGAAAGCTGGACAATGAACAAAGAAGACCGAAGAAGAACTGATGTCTTTGAACTGTGGTGTTGGCAAAGAATATTGAATATAGCACGGACTGCCGGAAGAATGAACAAATCTATCTTGGAAAAAGTATAGCCAGAGTGCTCCTCAGAAATGAGGATGGTGAGACTCCATCTCATATACTTTGGACATGCTATCAGGAGGGACTGGTCCCTGGAGAAGGACATCAAGCTTGGTAAAGTAGAGGGTCTGTGAAAAAGAGGAAGACCCTCAACGAATGGATTGACACAGTGGCTGCAACAATGGGCTCAAGCGTAACAACGATGGTGAGGATGGTGCAGGACCGGGCAGGGTTTTGTTCTGCGGCACACAGGGTCACTAGGAGTCGGAACCGACTCAACAGCACTTAACAACAGTGTTGGCCTCTGTGGTGGTGCTGAGCTGAACGTCCTACTGATCTTGGGAAGCTGCTGAGAGAATCTTTACGCCATAAACTGGATCCTGGTTTATCCACATTCGGTGGCAGCCTTTCAAACCAAGACCCATCATTGTTTTGCTCTCCTCCCCTGAGGCAGGCACGACAGAAATTTCTAGAGACGCCGCTGGCTTTACTCCTGGCTGGAGGCTGCATCGTCTGACGGTCTGGGGATTGCAGCAGGGCATGGGGCGGGGACAGTGGCGGTTGTTCTGAGTTGGGCTCTCAAGGGCAGCTTCGTTACTGAGTCTGACGTAGGACCTGGAAGATCAATACCCAGGAAAAAGCAATACAGTCATTTTATGAGCTTCCCAGCATTAGCCGTGTCATGGATTGAGCTGTGTCCCCCCAAAATTTGTGTGTCAACTTGGCTAGGCCATGAATCCCAGTATTGTGTGACTGTCCAACATTTCGTCACCTGATGTGATTTTCTTCTGTGTTGTAGATCCTACTTCTACGATGTTAATGAGACAGGATTAGAGGCAGCTATGTTAACAAGGCAGGACTCCACCTACAAGATTAGACACTGTCTTCAGTCACTCTCTTTCGAGATATAAAAGACAGAAGCAAGCAGAGAGACATGGGGACCTCATACTACCAGGAAAACAGAGCTGGGAGCAGAGTGTGTCCTTTGGACCCAAGGTCCCTGAGCTGAGAAGCTTCTAGACCAGGGGAAGATGGATGACAAGGACCTTCCCCCAGAGCTGACACAGAGAGAGAGAAAGCCTTCCCCTGGAGCTGGCGCCCTGAATTCGGACTTCTAGCCTCTTAGGCTGTGGGAGAATAAACTTCTGTTTGTTAAAGCCCTCCACTCGTGGTATTTCTGTTACAGCAGCACTAGATGACTAAGACAAGCGGTATGTGGGCCATGATCACAACCAGACTCTGGCACAACGGGGTGCTTTGCAACAGGGCATTTCCACACTGTGGCTCCCAGAATGTGAAAGTCTCATCCAGGTGTGACAAGCTCACTTTCCAGAGCCTTCCCTGGACCGTTCACACCCAGGGCGCCTCAGTGACCGCAATGATGACAAGCACAGGTGACAGGTGGCCTCCATGAATTAGGGGAGCCCTGGCGACTCAGTGACGCCTGGTGGTCACTAGGGAGTGCCCAAGTCCCAGTCGAGGTCCTGGCCCAGAGCCCACTGCGTCACCAGCTCACACAGCCCAACGTTCCAACTTCACCAATCACGGGCCAGCCACCATCAGGCTCTCTGAGTACACTGTCCACCGCCCCCGCCCCGGTCATTTCACAGACCAGCAAACCGGGGTGCAAGGTCATGTGACTGCCCAAGGTCACAGACACCAGAGGGTGGAGCTGCTAGGACACAGCAGCCCATAAAGGGGAGCAAACACTAATAAAAAGCAACTTTCAGGCACACGTGTACCTGAGGGTGGAACCCTCATGGCGCAGTGGTTAAGCGCTCGGCTGCGCACCGAAAGGTCGGCCGGTCAAATCCACCAGGCGCTCCTTGGAAACCCCGTGGGGTGGTTCTCCTCTATCCTATAGGGTCGCTACGAGTCAGAACGGACTCAACGGCAGCGGGTTCGGTTTTGGGTGTATACCTGAGCGTTGTTCCTTGCGTCAAAGTCACTGCTTCCCGAGCTCCTCTCGTGGTTCAGTTTTCGGTCACTCTCTCGCAGCAGGTAGCAGATCAGCCACTTGTACGCCGCCAGGGGGGCTTCGAGACAAGAAACAGAAGGGGACGGTGACCACGCAGCAGCCAGCAGGTGTGCAGCGCGTACCAAGCCAGACGCGTCCCAGCACCCGGCATGTGACTAATCTGCCTCACAGATGTGTAGGTGGGGCCTACAGATAAGGACGCTGAGGCACACGGAGGGGGTCACCGCCGCCGGTGGGTGCAGGCCGGGTGCCGGCATGTGCTGGCTCTGCACCAGGCTGTCCTGAGGTGTCCATGCCGTCCGGAACTACGGAGGCTGCGGGGCCGTGGGCTACCCTGAGCCTGGGTTATAAGGAATGACACGTTCTGGCTCGTGCTTGAAGGTTCCACCCACGTGAGATGGGGCACTGTCCCCTCAGTGCCATGAGGGTCTGGATGGGTGTCAGGACTTTCCCGGCACCTTTTCCACTTTAGTGGTCTGGCTCCTGGTGCGGTGGGGGACTGATGGGCCACTGGGCTGGGATCCACCTCAGCCTCGCCTCGTTCCTCCCCCATGAGGCTGGGCAGAGGAAGGCGGGGAGCAGGGAAGGGCCAAGACCGGATGTCAGACAGACAGGCGCACAGACATGAAGACTCCCGGGTGGCTGCACCCCACATCGAGGGTCCCCCCCCCTCAGCCATGATGGCACTGATAGGGTACTTCCTACAGCCCCCCGGGGCCCCGAGAACCTGAGGCACGCTAACTCAGGGACCTTCCCGAGCAGTGATCCCGTCAAGCAGTGCCACGCTGTCCACGCTGGGGATGAGGACACCGAGGTGCAGACGCGACATGGGTTCCCGGGAAGGAAATCGGGCCTGGCCACAGGGGGTTGGGGCCGAAGGACCCTTGCTACGAGGAGGACACTCGCCATTTGCTGGTTCCCATCACACACACAGACCGTTCCACAGTGGCCACGTCGCGTAATCCTCAGCGGACAGCTGAGAGAAACCCACTTCACAGACAAGCAGACTGGGACTCAGCCTCCACACGGCACTAACTGTCCTGGATGTGAACCCAGGCTCCAGGCCCCAGGCAGAGTGGGGCTTGGGGGTCCTCTGCACAGTTGTTGTCTGGCGGCTAGTAGCGGCGGCGGGGTGGCGGGTAACCCCAGACGGGCACCTGCTGCAGGCCTGCCAGGTGAGCCAGGGGCCACTCTTGGAAAAAGAACCCAAACCAGCTGCCGTGGAGTCGACTCCAACTCATGGCGACCCACACGCGTGAGAGCAGGACTGGGCTCCACAGGGTTTTCAGTGGCTGACCGTTCAGAAGCAGACAGCCAGGCCTTTCTTCTGAGGTGCCTCTGGGTGGACTGGAACCTCCAGCCTTTTGGGCAGCAGCTGAGCGCGTGAACCATGTGTGCCGCCCTGGGCTCCACCTGCAGGATGTGCCCCCAAAGCTCGCGCTGACACTCAAACACCAGCATGATGCCACAAAGTCCGTCCCCGCTCACCAGTGCCTGCTCTGGGGGGTCTCTGAAGAGCCCACCGTGTCCTCGACACAGCCCGGCAGGACCGACCGTCACCATGGCAAAGGGAGGTGGGCGTCACTGAGTCAGCGCTTCCACGGTTTATTTACACGGCAACAAAACCCAAGGAGCTAGCTTCAGCCAGAGGCCGCTCAACTTGTTCCTCTCCACCAAGCCGGCCCCACTGTCCACGAGGCTCTGCCCACCCTCTGCCCCAGCCCTCCCCAGGCACTGCCTGTACCGGTGAGCCCAGGACCCACATGACTGACCTCACCACCTGTACCACGTGAGCCCGGGACTCACACGACG